CCTTGAGGTTGTCCCTGACCCGGCTCCGTCTCCCCCAGAGGCTGCCTGACCCCCACCGACCCAGGGGGACGCCACAGACCAAAGGACTCCAGGCCTGGCCCTCTGGGGTGAAGAATGGATTCTGTCTCGAAAAAGAGAATGTGGGGGGCCCAAAGGAGCCAGCCACGGATTGTTCCAGAAATAAAAGGGGGATGCAAAGAAGGTTTGGGCCTGGTCTTTCTCGTGATCGGAGGACCCTGCCTGGGACCCACCGCCGGCGGGCAGGGGGTTCAGCTTCCCGTGAGCCTCCGGGACACCCCACTTTGGTCTGGTTCAGCTCTGAGCGAACCATGGAGGTGGGGAATCAGAAGAGGGTTTTCTTTTTTCCCAAAAAATACAAAATCTGAGAAGAGACCTGCGGCCCCGTGGGCTCTTGCCCGCCAGGGCACAGATCTGGGGGGAAACCCAAGAAGAAAAGCAGCCGGGCGTGGAGGGGCGGGGCGCACGCCTGGCATCCCAGCGGCTCGGGAGGCCGAGGCAGGAGGATCACGAGTTCGAGGCCAGCCACAGCGAGGCCCCGAGCAGCTCAGGGGGACCCTGTCTCTACATAGACATCCAAAAGGGCTGCGGAGGGACGGGGCTCCGTGGTGAAGCGCCCCCGGGGCCAATCCCTGGTACCTAAAGAGGAAGAGAAGCCAGGCGGGGTCTGTCTGTGTGTCCGGCGTGGGCGACCCAGGCCCGCAAGGAGAGAGGCAGGAGCGCGGGGGGCGTCCTGGGGACCAGCTGCCCTGCTTGTCCTGGAACCGTCCCAGGAGAACCGGCTCCATCTACCCTCCTGTAACCACTGTCACCAGCTGTTTCAGGAAGCGCTCATCCTACCAAGGGGCTCATCCTCCACAGCCTACCCAGGCCGCCCTCCAGGGAGCACACAGGGGACCCCAGGGACCGGGAGCTCTCAGGCTCTGCAGAGGGTCCAGCCCCTCTCGCAGACTCACCCTGCAGACTGAGCTCAAGGACCGCAGCCACTGAGCGCCTGGGCCCGCTGACATCCCAGGGCTGGGGAGGCTGAGGCAGGAGGATGGCGAGTTCAGAGCAGCCTCAGCCATGGCGAGGCCCTGAGCAGCTCAGGGAGACCCTGCCTCTCAATAAAATGCAAATTAGGTCTGGGGACCCGGCTCCGTGGACGAGGGCCCCTGAGTGTCCTGCGGCCCAATCCAGCGCCAACCCGAGCCACCCCACCCAGACACAGCTCCTGCCGCCCACGGGAAACCAGGCACCCGAGAAGGACTCCCGCTGCCGGCAGGGACGCCGCCCCCCACCTTCCCACAGCCACCCCTCCCCCGGGAGGTCCCAGTCCCCCTGCCCAGGAGCTGGAGAGCGGCGGTTCATGCCCAGGCGGCGGGCATTCGGGACGTGCCAGGTGCTGGCCGCACTCTTCATTATCCCCTTAATCCTCCCCCTGCCCAGAACCACAGCTGGGGGCCGAGGCCGGGGTGGCCAGGGGGTCAGCAGCAGGAGGCTGCAGCCCTGCTGTCCCGGTCCCCAAGATCCAGGACGCAGAGCCAACCGCAATGGCCAGGAGTCGGGTGACCAATGGGGCGGTCCCCCAGGTCCCCCAGGACGGGCTCTGACGTCTGCAGCCTGCCCCCTCCAGTGGGGCAGGGGCTGTCCCAGGCCACAGCGTCTCATCGAGCTCGACCCTCAGCAGGCGGGGGGGGGTCCCGGGCCTGGCCAGCCCCACACCCCTCCAGGTCTCGGGGCAGAGAGAGCAGGGCGTCAGGGTGGCCGAGCCCCGCGTCCCTGGGCCCGGGCAGGAGGCCCACCTGGGCTCACGGCCAACATGGGCAGCGGCCCCCTCTCCCTGACCCCTGGGCCCCTTCAAGACGCCGGACGAGCAGACCCAGGCTCAGGGAGGTGGCCCCACCCGCCCCAATGCCACCACGTCGTCCCCAGGCCTGGGGTTCTGACAGCCCTTCCCCTGGGACAAGCTCATGGCACACACTTGACCAGCTCGGGGCCCGGCCTGGCCACTGCCGGGAGGGAGGCCCAGAGACTGCCCACGGCTCCCGCCTCAGGCCTGGTGGTGGGACCGCACTCTGCCACCCCCACTGGGTGGCCTGGGGACACTCGCTGTGCGTCTCTGGGCCTCAGTTTGACGGCCACTAACCACAGCCTGCTAGAACCGCTTTGCCTCTCGGGCGGCCGGGAAGGAAGGGCAAAGAAAGCATCCAGAAGGTGGGTGTCAGGTCAGGGTGGCCCGAGTCCCCTGGACAAGGCCACAAATCGCAGCCTGCACAGCTCAGGGAGGAGCAGGACGGGCCTCACCATCTGGGGCAGGCTGAGGCCCAATCTGGAGGCCCCAAGCACCTCATCGTGAGGGCTAGCGGGGACGTCCCCTTCCCTAACCTGTGCCCCAAGCCATCAGGAAAGCTCTGCCTCCCCGAGAGGAGCTGGGTCGGGGGAGGGGAGACTTTCTCTTGGACGTGGCTGAGCCACCGTTAACTTCACATCTACGAGGTGCCACGGATCCCCGCTTCCTGGCTCCTTTCACACTCTGGATCAAAGCTAAGCTGCTCATCGGATGGTGCCTACAAGCCCTGAGCAGTCGGGTGCTGCCTACCAGGACTCTCTCCTCCCACCCAGCACCCCATGTTCGTTCCTGGAACACGCCAGCTCAGTCCTGCCTCAGGGCCCCCCTCACGTGCTGTTCCCTCAGCTCACACCCTTCCTGCGCAGCTCGACACAGCAGGCTCCAGGGTAGAGATCTGGGGACCCAGGGATGGGGTGGGGGGGACATCACTACAGAAGCCTGGAATGGGCCTGATGGGAGGGTCTGCCGCTGGGGACCAGCACACACTTCAGGTGGACACTACTGTCCCCAGAGAGCGGGCTGTGCGGCGGTGACCAGAGCCCCTCTGCCCCACATCACCACCCCACAGAGACCCGGTGGCCCTGTCCAGAGACGCCCTTCTCATGCTCTGCCTGGCCCTGCCCAGCCGGTGACATCGACCTCAGCTGCTGTCTGTCCCCTCCCCTGAAAGCAGGGCCTGGGTCTCCACTGCCGGCAGCCGGCCTCACCCCGTGGCGGGCGCTTCCTGCGTGTTTGGGGACTGACTCTGGACTTTCTATCAGCCGTGGCGACCAGATCTTGAAGACTGTTTCCCGTCTAACGCCCCCATCACTCTCCTGCCGGGGGCTTCTGGACCCTGGCACCACGGCTGTCCAGGTCTGGGTGGCTCTGTGTTGAAGGGAGGGCGTGGGACTGACCTGGCCACCACGGGATAGCCAGCAGCACCCAGGTCTCCACCCGGAGGGTGCCAGAAGCTACTCTTGGAGAAGTCATAGGGACTGTAACCGTTTTGCAGGGAAAACAAAACGAGGCTCAGAGGGGTGAGTGCACCAGCCCAAGGTCACACAGCAGAGCTGGGATCAAACCCAGGCCTGCTGGACTCGTAAACCCTCCGACTGACTGAGGCACAGAGGCTCAGTCTCAACCCCTCCCTCCCTCCCTCCCTGTCCCTGGTCAGCCCAAGCCTGCGGGTTCCTGAGTCCCCACCCAAGGCCAGATGCAGGGGCTGTGTTTTCTGATGGAGAGCTCCCAGGCGGCCCAGGCCCCTGGCAGAGTGCTCGGAGGCCGGGGGCCACTCGTCCCGCCAACTCCTCCAGGAAGAAGGCAGACGTGGCTCACACCTGTCAGGGAACCGTCTCCCGGGAGAGCTGTCAGGCAGAAGGAGACCCCTCCGCGCTGCCCCAGCCCGAGCTCTCCAGGTAGCACCCGGCCCTGCAGCGTCGGGGAGAGACCTGAGTGTCCCCAACAAGGAGGGATGACACACCACCCGTCCCCCTGCCCCCCAGGGCCCATGCCAGGTCAGCAGCCAGGCTGCAGGGAGGGTGGACCTGAGCTAGCCCTGGGGCCAGGTTCTATATGCAAAACACCTGGCACACAGTAGGTGGTCAATAAAAGCTGGTCAATAAAGGCCTCGTACATGTGCTGTGCTGGGCAGGCTTCGGAGCCTCAACTCACCCAACTACTAATTCAGTGACTCCTCCTCTCCCCATGAGGGAGAACTATTATTACCCTCTCCAACAAGGAGGAAACAACACAGAGAGGCGAAGTAACCAGCCCAAGGTCACACAGCTGGGAAGGGGAGTTGCTGGCTCCAGAACCTGTGCTTTCCATCACACACTAGAACGCTGGCCACCACCTCACAGAACCTCTGGGAGGGCAGCGCCTCTCCCCTCACCCCACCAGGAACCCAAGCTGAGCAGCTTGCTGGCAAGAGCAGACCTGAGACCCGGAGCACTCCTCTGGTGGGACGCGGTGCCGTCAAGGTCTCCCCAAGGTCAAGAATCATCCGCACAACGAGGCGGAGCAAGTACTGCTGCCACCCGCCGCTGTGTCATGGCCCCTTCCAAAAAGGCCGGGAAATGCCGGGTTCCAAGAGCTGTGGCGTTGGTCTGCACAAAGCTGAGCCAGGAGAAATCAGATCCTACCTTCCCAGGGAGGGGGGTCAAGAAGCAGGAAGAGAAGGTCAAAGCCAAGAGCCCTACAGTCCAGTCCTCAGTTTACAGCTCTGCTGTGTGGTTTTCGTGGAGTTGCCTGCCCTCTCTGGGCCTTCGTTTTCTCTGCTAGAAAATCTTGTGTGGAAGGGCACAGAGATGGAAGAAGAATCTTTCCAATGTTAGGAATGTTGCCCAAACATTCACCCGAGTGTCATTTTGACGGTGAAAACCGCAAGCAGGTGTTTGGGGGTGCTCATCCACCGCAGCCAGACACCTAGGCTTCCCAACGACTCCACGTCCACACTCCCGGGCAGGGGACCTTGGCCAGCAGACACCGGCCCTGGTGGCCGGGCGCCCGCGGAGCTGCCCCTTGGTGGGACCTTGAGGGACCCGGCTGCCCTGTAAAGGGGAGCAGGAAGGGGCGCCCGGGCTGGGGGTGGGGAGGCCTCGCACCCAGAGGATCATGGGAGCGCCCCAGGACAGAGGGCGCCTGCTCCAGGCCACACAGACAGCTCAGGTTCCAGGGCCAGTCTGTCTGTCTGTCTGTTAGAAACAGCCCCAGCCCACCACGGGATGGAGCAGGGGCAAACCCCGCTGTGGGAAGACCCGCCTCCAGGGACGGCCAAGGCAGGACCTCCCGTGGCCTCCAGACCGCCCTGACCTCCAGACTCAGGCCCGGAGGGAAGGGCCTCGCCCCACCCCGACCCCGGCTCCTGCCG